GTAGAGAGAAGGAACCACCGGCGTCGCGCCTCGTTGTGCCCAAGTACTCCAATGTCCCTGATCCCCTTCGCATGATCGACCTGAAGTCTGCGCTGCAATACGGTCAAGCTCTGGGATACCCCGCACTATACCAGTTCATCCGACAGTTCACGAGGGAGAACCTGCATCCTTTCGTCCCATACAAGAACGGGCCAGAAATCATCTTGACCTGCGGCTCCACCGATGGCTTTTCCAAGACGCTGACAGCGCTCAGCAATGAGTGGTCAGCCGAACATGACCCTGTCGACGAGAGGCCGGGACTGCTGTGCGAGACATACTGTTACATGAACGCCATCCAGACCGCCAGGCCTCGAGGCTTCAACATTGCGCCAGTAGCCATCGATGACGAGGGAATGATGGCGCACGGAGAGGGAGGTCTACAGGATGTTCTAGAGAACTGGGACTACTCAAAGGGCCGCCGGCCACATGTCATGTACACCGTCACCATTGGGCAGAACCCTACATCAGGCACGTTATCGGTACAGCGCAGAACCGAGATTTACGCTCTCTGCGTCAAGTACGACATCATCATCGTCGAGGATGACCCATACTGGTACCTGCAGTACCCGTCCTCGTCGCCTAGCAGCGTCCCTCCCAAGCCTACCAAATCTTCCGGCTTCGAATTCCTCGACAGTCTGATCCCTTCGTACCTTAGCGTAGACTACCAGGGTCGCGTCGTTCGTCTCGATACCTTCTCCAAGACGGTAGCCCCCGGGTGCCGTCTTGGTTGGATTACCGCGCAGCCTGCACTTGTAGAACGTCTCCTCCGCATTACCGAGACTTCGACCCAGCAGCCCTCAGGTTTTGTGCAGTCCATGATGGCAGAACTGCTCATGGGTCCCCAATCATCAAATGACCCTGGAAAGGGTGGCGCAGCCGATGGCAGTGGCTGGAAAGTCGATGGATGGGTGCGCTGGCTGGAAGGCCTCAGAGGCAACTATGAGCGTCGCATGCAGAAGATGTGCGATACACTCGACGCTGGAAAGGAGGCTGTAAAAGCTGGGCGCCGAAGGAGTCTCGTCGACGTCGCTGACGAAGAAGATGACTGGGCTGTGGTTGAGAAGACGCAGATCTACTCTTTCGTTCGACCTCTGGGAGGTATGTTCGTGTGGGTGCGCTTCGACTTCGCATCCCATCCGCTCGCCAAGCAAGTACCTGGTGCCCGCCTTTCCAAGGCTCTGTGGGTCTTCTGGACCTCGAAGCCCTACCTATGTCTCGTAGCTCCCGGTGCAATGTTCGCGGCCAACGAGGAGATCAGGGCAATGGACAGCTTCAACTGCTTCCGGTTGTGTTTCGCCGCATGCCCTGCGGAAGATGTAGATGATATTAGCAAGAGGTTTGTAGATGGCGCGCAAGCATTCTGGAGGATTAAGAGTAAGAGCAAGATTGACAAACTGTTGGAAGATGAGGGGGTAGCGGGCATGGATCACGTTGCTGGTATGGCAGTATTGACCGGGATGTGTTAACGGATTTTCAAATATACATTAGAACGCTATATACAACCAAACTTGATGGTGGAGTCATGCTATGCACTCCCGTTACCCGCTATTTTTACTTGGAGACCTTGGCGTCCGCGATGATGACGTCGGATGCCTTCTCAGACAACATGTAGAGGGGGAGAGCCAGGTAAGTGCCAGGAATCTTGGGGAAAGCGGAAGCATCGACGACACGGAGACCCTCGACACCGCGGACCTTGAAGTTGCCGTCAAGAACAGCCTTCTCATCATCGTCGGCGCCAATGGGGCAAGTGCAAGAAGCGTGGTGGCCCCAGGACTCGTACTTGGCAAACTCCTTCCACTGCGCGTCGGTCTGAACCTGCTTTCCGGGCCAAACCTCCTTGAACTTGCCGTCAAGAGGAATGAGATCCTCGAAGACCTCGCGACCGTACTTCATTCCCTCGACCAGGGCGTCAAGATCCTCGTCACCGCCGACAGCGAAGTTGCGCTTGCGGATCTCAGGCACGTCCTGGGGATCAGCGCTACGCAGGGTGACAGTACCAGCATTGTTGCGAGACTCGGCCTTGAGGGTGAGCCAGGTCCAGGCGTCGCGGCCAAGGGTGGCGTTGGCAAAGAAGTTGGGGTAGTATCCGTTGAAGTACGCAGGCCAACCAGCGACGAAAAGATCAGCGTTGCCGTTGGGGGAGTTGCTAGCCTTCTTGGTAATGGCAAGCGCGATACCGTTGGTGGCGTAGACACCCTTTCCGATTCCAAGCTTGCCAGTTTCCCACTTCTCGAGGCAGGGGTCGTGGTCGCCTTCAAGGAAAGTGCAGCCGTTGAGGAGAGAGATCTTGCTGGGTGCTTGACCGATGACGGGGATTTCGTAGCGGTCCTGGAGGTTGGTGCCGACACCAGGTAGGTCCTTGACGACATTGATGCCGAATTGCTCGAGTTCCTCCTTGGGACCAACGCCGGAAAGCTTCAGGATCTGAGGGGTGTTGAAAGCACCAGCTGACAGGATGACCTCGCGAGTAGCAGTGACGGATCCCTTTGTTCCCTTGCCAGCAGCAGATCCGGACTGGCGCCTCGGGTCGGCGCCGTAGAGAGACTTTCCAGTCAAGAAGCTGACACCAGTAGCCTTGGGCGTGGTCCCGTTCTGATTGAAGTCGACGTTGGTAACGAGGGTGTTGAGCTGGATGTCGAGATGGTACTTGCGGCTTCTGTCCCGGTTCTTCGCATTGATGACTTGGTGAAGGAAGTCGACGGGGCCAGCACGCTTGTACTCAGGAATCTTCATGGCAAGAGGAACTTGCCACATGCCCTCGGCGGAATCGCGGTTGGCGCCGGGGTTGTTGATGTCGCGGAGCAGAACCTGACCGAGGCCAGTAACGGTCGTGATGAGCGAAGAAAGAAGGTTCTTGCCCATACCCGTAGCAGCGGCCAGGACGAGGGAGATGACCTTGAGGTCCTGAACGATCAACGTGAGGTCGGTCAGTGAGGTCTCGAGCCATCCGGAGAATCCGTGTCCAACAACGCTGTTTGGCAGGTAGCGCGACTTCTCCAAGCGGGTGAAGTACTTGCGCATGTTGCTCGGTGCCCAAGAAGAATCGCCAGTGATGGTCTGGAGGTACTCCCAGTCACTCTCGTATGGGTATACAGTGATAAGGGCGTTGTGAACAGTGCAACCTCCGAGCGAGCCAACGCGCGGGTACAGAACACCGAGAGGTTTGGCGCCGGCAGGAGGGCTGGGGCCAGTGTAGCGGGTGCCGTCACTCAGCTCATATGTGAGCTTGGTGTCCCTCCTCTGCTCTTCTTCGTCGTCGAAGTGCTTTACAAAGTAGTCCCATCGCATGGGCTCGTACTCAGCGGCAACGGAGTGCAACACGGGCACGTTGTACTGAGTGGTGTTGGTCTGGTCATCGCCGGCTTCAAGGAGAAGGACCTTGTGGCCAGCAAGAGCTAGCCTGGCTGCGAGAGGTGCACCACCGGCACCAGATCCGACAACGACATACTCGTAGTCTTCAAGAGTGGTGGTGTTCGTAGCGGTCACAGCACGCTTTACATTTTCGCCGCGGTAAGGAGTGTGCTCGGCGCCGTCGCTGCAATTCTGTCAGCACACAATCATTGAGGTGAGCACGTGATGACATACATGATGCGTGCAGAAGTGAAGTTGGTAAGTAAAGAGAGGACGGCCAGAGCCTTCAAGACAATCATGTTGATGGAATTAGAGGTGGTAATAACCTTGCAAGAAAGAATGGACAAGAAGCAAAAGACTGGATATACAACGTCGTTGTGAGAACGAGTGTGGAGAGAAAGCGACGAGGGCCTCCCTGTGAGAGCTTATATTGGCATGCAGGACAGCCTCGATCAACCATCACGAAGCGCCACCGGTAGTCGCGGTACACGTGGTGAACATTACGATCATCGACCATCTGCCCCTTTGGTCCTTGACATTTCACGAATGCGACTTGCGGCTAATGCTCACCCAACAGGTCTGCCTGTTCTTACCGCATGAGGATGGTAGTACAACCCGTGCGCTAGTGGATCCCAGGCGCATGGTAGAAGGGCTTCCCATGTCGGACCCCATCCTCGCCCGCACTGACGAATGTGACGAATGTGAGGCTTTTCGAGTCAGCAAAGGACAGAAATTCTCCTAGCTGCAGGTCAAGAGATTGAGCGGGGAGACGAGGCGTTGTTTGAAGCTAGACCGAACTTCCACCCTGGGCGCACTGGGAGTCGGCCCGAACCTGGCTGGCGTAAACTTACCTCCATGAAGCAAGGAAACTCCCGCGAGATGGCTGAACTTTGCAAGTCAACGTTCAAAGTTAGAGTGTAGCCGTCTTCTAGCTTGCATCTCGCTCAAAAACTGGATATCTAGTAATAGTCGACACTGCTGCAATCAATATATGCATCTTGGCATCCTTCCGGACATGCTCTGCCGTGCGGCACGCCTCGTCGCTACCATACACGGTAGTTGCGACTGCCCAACGTACGCCGCAAACGTCATCGGATAACCACGCCGCGAAAGTCTCCACCTCAAATTTCAGAACCCAAGTCAATCGAGGGCTCCAGCGCGGCCAAAAGAGGACACCTCGAATGGTAACGTACCTACATCGATTGTAATCCATGCACGACTCCACTATGCACGTGCTAGAATCGACTTGGCAGGCAGGGTGGGACTCAAGGGTCTTTGAACGAGTAAGAGTCAGCGCCTGTAGCTCCAGAGGATCTCTACCACCAACAACGTCCATCGCAACAAGCATCCGACGTGTGCTGAAAACACCCCCGCTTGCATAAGTACGGTAGCATGTCTTAGTAATTCTGCGAGCCGTCCCCAGGGATTCTCGACGACATCGACTGTGCCGAGAGACAACTCTTGAAGGGCTTGTCGGAATGGGGGAAGGTGCGTGGTATGTACACACCCTGGCTCCGTGACCGGGTGTGCAAAGGCAGTTCCCCAGCGACTCGATACGGCATTTCCAGAGCAATCCCTTGGTCTCCACCCCTCTCGGTGCCTTTCGTAACCTATCCTGCCAACTCTCCACCGATCCATATTTCGGTATGATTTCCCCTTGGCCCGGGTGAGAACGCTCAAGTGGGCACGTTCTGTGTTATCGCATGTCCACACGAGCGCCCTGCAGATTGTTTGCTTGGTATTTACTGTAATACATAACCTACTACCTTCAAACCTTCGTACGAAGCGCAGTCCGAGGCCACCCGCTATCTTCTTTTCCTCGACTCTATCATTTTGACTTTCTTTTACGACACCTGCACATGAGATTTCCCAATGCGGTTAAGAACTGTGATAGCTTTTCTCGGGGCCTTCGTGGCTGCCGTTCATGCTCAGAACCCGCTTGAGGCTCTGGCGGCACATATGCCCAAGTGCGCTGTATGTCTTCTTTTGAGAAAGTCGGAACCGAATTCACGTCTGACATGTTCGTATAGCTGGCATGTTTTATGGAAGAGCTTCCCAAGTCGACATGCGCCACGGACCTGACCTCGCAGTGCTTATGCACCAACACTGCCCTCAATCTTGCGGTAGCCGCCTGCTCGCAGAAGACATGCACGATATATGAGCTTATGCGTGAGTATACCCTTCCAATTCATAGGCCGCTTACTTGGAGACTAATGAGTAACAGAGACCAAGAATATCACTGAAGCAGGTTGCGGAGTACCTGTTCGCACCAAAGGTGACTCTTTCATGGCAATTGGCATCGCCGGAGCTGTTGTGGCTATACTATCCTTCATACTGAGGATGGCCGCTAGCATAGGCAAAAAAGGCCGACAGGTATCATGGGACGATTTGACGATGTTCATTGTTGTTTTGATTGCTATACCTCCCGCGGTCTTTACCCATTTCTGTAAGACGATTTCGACAAACTCTTGGCAATTTACTTACAACATTGTAGTGGTCAAAAACGGTCTGGGACGAGATATCTGGACACTCAAAGCTGACCAGATCACAAACGTTCTGTTCTACTACTTCCTGGGAGAGATCTTTTACGTGACTGGCCTCGGCGTCTCCAAGATCTCGATTCTCTTCTTCTACCTTCGCGTCTTTCCGGCCAAGAGCTTTCGAATCCTTACTTACAGCGTCATGGCCCTCTGTGGAGTCTACACCATCGTATTCTTCGTCGTCACTCTGATGCAATGCCGGCCCATTAGCATGGCTTGGGATCAATGGGATGGACTCCACGAGGGCACATGCAACAACATTCATCTCCAAGGCTGGATCGCGGCCGCTATCAACATCTTCCTGGACGTTGTTGTGATGGCGCTCCCGATGAAACACTTAGCAGCGCTGAACATGGGTATCAAGAAGAAGGTCATGGTCATGTCCATGTTTGGTGTCGGTATCTTCGTCGTTGTCATCTCGGTCATTCGCTTGGAATCCCTCATCCACTTCTCGAATACGCAAAATGTCACATGGGACTACGTAGACGCCGGTCTATGGAGTCTTATCGAAATCGACGTTTCGATCGTCTGCGGATGCATGCCTGCTCACCGGCTATTGATCGCCAAGTTCTGGCCGAAGATACAGTCGACAGTCGGAGCAAGCAAAGCCCTTTCCACGAAAGGTTCAAAGTTCAACAGTACCAATAACACGACGATCAGCTCTACGGCCCCCGAGAAGTCAGTCCGTCTCTCCATAAAACCCAAAGCCAAGGACGAGAATAACTTCATTCCGTTGGACGACATGGACGATAACAGCGATCGAGCCATGTTGACGAAACGCGACGCCGAACGAGACTCCAGGGGTTGGATCGTGGCAACGCATGAAGTGGAAGTCACCCACAGGAATGCTTCGGTGGTTACAGAGAACGCCAACGATGGTAACCCCAAAGACTGGAACAAGCCTCCCACGATGGGAAAAGAACATGTATGAGCCTTTCCAGGCGATATTGGTGTTACAGCTTCTTTAGCATGGACACAAACGGAGTACAGGCGTCACAACCAAGGATATCCTATAGACCGTATCTTCAGAGAAATGTATAATGTACTATGTCTTTTACATACTTCAAGCCTTCTCATCGCTCCCACGTTACAGTCCTGTATCCCACTTCTCTCAACACTTTGGAAATAGTGCTTGCGCGTGCCACATGATACTATCTTCTAGTCACCGTGTGGTCACGTCAGTATGTGGCATGACTAGAGTACAGGCTGGATCTGGACTCATACTAAGCGCCGAACTCGGGCGTGAACGACAGTAGCGCGTGGATGCAATAGGTGAGATCGTCCACTGAGTGAAGCCAGCAGGCCGCGCTGGGTCCAGAAGCTAGGACGCGGGGAAAGGAGCGTTAAGCCGCTCAGGGCCCACAATGCAACCACGACAGGGATTCTGCCAAGGACAACCCTTCCCGAAGACCACTCGTACCAAGGGACGTTCAACATCTGCGCGTCCCACTGAAAATGCCAAAATTTTCGCCACTTATCTCTTCCGACATCTTTGCTTCGGTGCTTCTCGAAGGCGTCAGGTGGGCCTTCGACATTACGTACGTCCGTCCATCCTCAAGGATCTACACCAAGACCTCTCAGGTCTACATACCCGTCGCACTGTGCTACTATATTTCAAGAAGAGCGAGTAAGAAAAGTGAGTTATAAAAGTTATGTATGTTATGTGCAAAAGCGCGGTTGGCGACAGCATTAACCTTGGAAGCGTTGAGGGATCCGGAGCGGACCGCAGGGGTAAACTCACAACCTTCGGCTCTCTGGATACAGATAAGCTTGGCCCCAGTTGAACGGGCCGTTTAATTAATCGGACCTTCGCACTGCGTCTCCACTATTGGCGATCTGCCTGTTCTTTCCTCTTCCTTCGAGTCCGGGCATCGGGTGTAATTGTTTCAGACCACCTTTCGGGTATCGTCAGCCTTACTCCTTTTCACGTTCCCAAATCGACTATGTTGGATCTTCTCGTCTAGCCCTCTTTCAGTCCTGTCCCTGGCAGAAGTGGAGTCAGAATTCGATGGCATTTACCGTGCCGCGGTCGTTCATGATCCTCCCCACGATTCTCCTGGGATTGTTTAATGATGATAGACGTTGCTTCTCTGCCTGGGCAAACAAAGTGGTTAGCTTGTCACTTCGCCAGAACGCTTCCGAAGCAATCGAACGCTCAGCTATGCCATATCCGCATTCAGCAGTTCGTCCGCGTCTCACCGCCTGCTCATCTTCATGTGGCTTACGCTTACATGATGCTCGTAGACACCAACATCTAATTACCATTCCCTTGTCTCTCTTTGGCTGTTTGTCTAACAGGTATCTTTTCGAACCGTTCCGCTCGCTATGAAGTTCTCAGTTCCCATTCTCACCCTTCTTTCGGGCAACATTTTTGCCAATGCCTTTCCTTCTCTTCATCATAGACATCTCGACGGCCTCACACCCGAAAAGCTGAATGCGGCTATTCGATCGGTGGAGGAGTACAAACATGCCAAGAGACTTCTCGTTGACGTAAAGAAACCCATCGATATCACCGGCAAACACGCCTTCCAGGCTCCCAAGAAGAACGACCAACGCGGACCGTGTCCTGGACTCAATGCTCTGGCTAACCATGGATACATTTCTCGCGATGGTGTCACCAGCTTCGTGGAAGTGGTGGCGGCCATCAATCAAGGTTCGTCCGATGCGTCTTGGAGTAGACTGGCCAATTCTAACATGCGTGGTATCTAGTGATGGGCATGGGCACAGAGCTGGCTCTTGTCCTCGGTATCATGGGTACTGTCTGGACAGGAAACCCACTATCGTTGGATCCTGGTTTCTCTATCGGAGGTCCAACTGCTGGCACAAACAACATCCTAGGAAATCTGCTTGGTCTTCTTGGTAAGAGCTATCCCTCCGGCGTATTACAGGCAGCATCATGCTTACGCGCTCACAGGTAACCCTCGAGGTCTTCAAGGTTCGCACAACTGGATCGAGTCGGACTCATCGCTTACGCGCGATGACCTTTATGTGACCGGTGATGCTTGGACAATGAATATGACGCTTTTCCGCGACTTCCACGATCGTGCTGATGAGAACGGCGTCCTCTCCATGGACCTGCTGGCCGATCAAGCTGCCCGTCGCTGGGAGTATAGCGTCGCCCACAACCCAAACTTCTATTATGGGCCTGTCACTGGCATGGTTAGCCGTAACGCTGGCTACTTCTTCCTCGGTCGCCTGCTCTCCAACCACACAGCTGAGCACCCCGAAGGTGTTCTTACCCAAGAGATCTTCCGCAAGTTCTTCGCCGTGTATGAGGGTGCGAACGGAAACATGGAGTATCGTAAGGGCCACGAGACAATTCCCGAGAACTGGTACCGTAAGCCGGTGGAGTACGGCCTCATTCCACTGAACTTGGACATCATTTCATGGGTGATGAAGCACCCAGTCCTTGGCAGGTACGTATCCAAACTCTCCCACCTTCAATGCCGAGTGATAGGCTGACATCTTCTGGTAGCATTGGCGGCAACACCGGCACCGTGAACTCTTTCACCGGTCTCGACCTCCACAATGTCACTGGCGGCGTGCTTAACGCAGGCACCTTGCTCGAGAACAACAATCTCCTGTGCTTCGTGTTTGAATTGCTCAAGACATTCCTGCCCAACTCGCTTTCTCCGCTGCTGTCGACCCTCGAAGTCCCGATCAGCTTGGTGACAGATACCCTGGCGTCGCCGCTGTTGAGCCTCGCGTGCCCAGCATGGAAGGATATGACCGAGGGTGGCGAGCCGCTATGGGACGGTATCCAGAACACATTTGCTGGCGCACGCAAGGCCGGTTCAAGCCTTTAGTTCAAGCACAGTAGTGACATAATCATATTCTCTTTCTCTTGTTAATAAAACCTGTTAACGGGCTGAGCTCGTGAAACGTCGTTGGAAATGCGCAAGCGTGTTTGTGTCGCAGTGGACAAATGCGCTTAGATGAAAGCAAGGATTTGCTGAGTGAAGATCGTTTTCATAACATTGTGATCGATATCGGCTTTTGCTTGCCAGTCCAAGTTGCATGTAGCTTGAGGGCAAATTGAGGCTGCTGCTTGGGTCCAACATGGACATGCCTAGGTGATCGTTAAGATCATGACGGAGAAGACTGAGCAGAGTGTGAGGTGGTTGGAAGACGCGTTCGCGTCGCGCTGGCTAAAGCCTGACCGAATGTGGACTAGCCTCTCTTCCATGTGAAAGTCAATCTCTTGGAGACATGAAAAGCCGGAACATCTTGGAGAGATGCGCACTGTGCCTTGCTGCAAAGGAGCAGATGACTGCTCTACAATGCGTTACCATCAGGTTGAGGTGGTGGCGTTGAGGGAACTTAGAGACCTCGGGAGCTCACAATGGCTTTGTGCACATCAGAAGCGCGGCGAATGCAAATGAGATTGTGCACTTTTACAATGTCTCGTTTTTACCTTCGCGAAATAGTAGTAATCGTTCACGATGTTTGGAACGTTAAACAGTACTGTGCATAGTTGCGTTCCGGGAGTGATTTATTTATCTTGCGTACAACAATTTAGGTACCTAACAAACGCGAGGTCGCTTCCTCGGTTCAACTCCAACTGCCGGCTATAGTATACCAACACCCCAGATATGAGTGATAAGTATGAAACGCCCGAAGTCGGGACAATCATGAAAAACGCGTTGACATACCAGGAAGCCATCGAGAAAGGACAACGCCTCCTAGCTCTCACAATCGTGGATATCACTAACGATCCACCTCAAAGTCAATTTCAAGACATCGGTGACCTGGAAGAGTGGGGTTGGAGTACGTTCACTCTCGCTAGTCCGGGACCCATCTCCGCTTCGAACCTAGTACGAGCCCTGTGCCCTGCCCTCAAGTCTTCTCCAACCACAGCGGGTATCCTCACTCTTCATGACGAGACCGTCACGGTCAACGGTAAGACCTATCCAGCCACCATGGCGCATATTCAAAGCGTTTTGGAACCCCAGACCGGCATTTTGTTGGCAGAATGCAACACTGCGCCGGAAGCAATGCTAAATCCATGTAAGAATCTAGATCCAGCGACGTTGGTGGTCAAACTCCCAAAGCTGCGACATTGGTCCGATGTTGTTTTCTTGCAATGGAAGACTTTAAGTACTAATGTTGAACCTCGAAGTTTGCCAGAATTAAGACTTATAGTAAGATATCAGGTCCTCAACGCCGACACTCGAGCCATCTCCAGCACTATCCTTGCCTCTCTCCGCAAAAAGCGACAGGAGGAAGCTAAATCAGGAATTTCGTATGACTCCTGGCTTCCGAGATGGCCAGGCATAACTTTCCCGATAGAGTCTGAAGAGGCGATAGCGTTGTGCGGCACACCCAATGGAAGTGGCGTACTGCATTTACTCGCTCAACGTAAGGTAGAATTGGGCCGCAAAACTATTCAGGAGGTATGCTTGTACTATGGAGATGGAGATGATAATGGGTTGCGAGAAGTGCCGACTTTAATATTCCATGTCAAAAATGTTTGAGTAGAGCTAGGTGGCGGGGCCGTAGGGGGTGCCGACTACAAGGGGACTACATCAAGACCTTTGTAAAAGCATCGCCCAGTCCCCTCTCCACAAGCCACTCCTCAATGGCCTTCATATCACCTCTATTCGCTCTCTGACCGCGTCGTTCACCGACTGTATCGGTGATTTCAGTCATGTCCGGGAAGATCCGCTTCTCACATTGCTCTCGATGTCGCTCGCTGACTTTCTTGTGATGGGCCGGTATGTCGCCCCAGCTTTCCGTTTTGATATACTTCATGTAATCGTCGATATTCTGTGATACGCCCTCGACGCACAGAAGACCTGGCTTGCCAGCGTAAAGAAAACCGGTCAATTGGTAATAAGGAGCGAACTTGATGAAGTCGTCGCGCTTGGAGCGCGTGCTGATCGATGGAAAATAGAACCAAACTCTTACCAGCGGTTCAGCGTCCAAGGTAGCAAGATTCGGGCCCACTTCTGCCATCTCAATGTCTGTAAGGTATTCGACTGCAGCTTCTCGGATGTACTCAATTTTACTCAGCAGATCTTCATCTTCCGGGATGTCCGATGTCAACCGCGTCGTGGTGGCTTTGTTCATCCAGTGCGGTTGCTGCACCCGAACCTTTACCGTCGGTGGGTCTGAAGGCGGTTCACTACCGTTAAATGCGAACGGTACCCCAATATCCAGACGCAATGTCCTCGAAATCGACGACTCTTCATTGGGCGTAGATACCGGCAGATCAAGTACGACTGAGATCACTGGCGTATATTTGACCGCAGCTCTAGAGCGAGCATCATCGGTATGGTGCAGGATATCTAGTATTCCCTGAGAGTTCTCGTCGAGTGTGATCTCGTCAGGATACATTGCCAACAAAAGCTCAATCTGGCCAATTTGAAGCTCTATCAGATCGGCTGGTAAGATCTGCCATTGTTGCATGTCTGTCGTCATTATACGATAGATGATAATAGAGTTTCTGGAGGCTGGAAGTAGTCTGAGGGGGCTACGAGAAAGAGTGAAGTTTGATGCAGGTGTGACAAAAAGACGCGCACTAGCGGAAGAGCGAGGTCGGCGCGTCGATTTTCGGCTACCAGCCACACAGTGAGCCACAAACGCCTCCCGCATCCGGATTGTCAAAAAATCAGCATCAAGTATTGCACGATGATAGTTAAATTCAGATTTTATTTTCATTGTTTAAAATCAAAACCTGGCCGCTATGCAGGTGGAGATGCCTGAGCCTGTTAGCCTTGCTTTCATCCTGCGCTCTTTTCTCTCTACGTACCTGCCACATGTCGATTATCACACTCGACGTTCCGTTCCTTCTAAGGACGCCTACAGCAGCCACGTCGTTCAACCACGCAGCAGTTCCGTTTGTATCGGTCTCGAATTGTCCTCGCAACATCGTGGGGGCACCATCCGCAGCAGGTGGGAGTCCTATCGTTTGAACATATATAAAGGTTCCGTCATCAGTCTGGATATTGTATCGGGCGTCTGGTCGGAAAGCACCCTGCGCGTCCGTCAGGCGCCAGTCCGCGCCCAGATTGAGTACTTTGCCTTCAAATATGTGAGTGCCATGACGTCATAATACACAACAGCATAAGAGGCATGGGTTATCGAAGAGGGAGTCCAGCCAATTTTTCATGTTCTTTTGAAGAATCATAAAGCATCTACGCCAACAGGGCTACTCACCAGATATTTTCGGCCCTTTGAACGTTCCTCCAACAATAGGGATGACGATGCGTTCTTGCCCGGTTGGGATAGAACCGAGCGAGAATCTTTCTCCCAGGAGCGCTTCCATGTGATAGATTAAAGTCATCTGAGGTGGTTCTGGCGTGCTTTGCGCCATTGTGAAAGTAGTAATAGCAGCAAGTGCGGTGAGTGGGGTGGAGAGTCGCATGGTGAAAGCAGCGGTAACGTTACTAAAGACTAGTAGGAAACTCTGAATGCAACGACATCATAGTCGCATAGCCAGAATATATAGATGTGCTACAGTGCGATGACAAGCTTCCATGCCGTCGCCAGGTACCGAAGATGACGTACAGCTTTAGGTTCCGCGTTCCTGCAGCAACCCCGCAATCGGCAATTCCTCTAGATCTACCCCAAATCAAGATGCCGGCTCAATTTCCACCACATCCCATGGGGAAAATTGGTCCCTTGTCGCATCGCGTTCACTTGCTACATTATTTACTATTGCTACTGACAGGAATTGTGTTGTCGCGTGCGACCATGTCACATTATGCGAGCGGTCTGCTATTCTCTCGTACTAGCCCAAGCCCAGGTGTGCCATCCCTCTGCACCCGCCGACCAGCAATACAATCGATACGTGACCCGCTACATCACACAGGCACACCGATACCCGTACAAACTATAGGACGAGAACCAGTAAGGCCAAAACCATGGTGCAATCCTTCGGGGCCTGACATCTCCAGCTCTGTTGCGCAATCGCAAATTGACCGACAGCCCTGCCCAACCGAGGCGGCTGAGCACCACTGATCTTCGAAAGAATACGCCGAGATCTCAGGGCACGCTGCTATGCTTCACCTCAATCTCTCCATAGCTTGAGAAGCAGCTTGCCCGCTGGTTAAGTAGCGTAGCTGCGGTGCACCTGGCGAAAGAGGCGCGCACTACATCTAGGGGGAAAGATGAATACCTACTTCCTAACCTGGAAGCCTACGTTGCTTTGGAATCTTATTGACTTTACTGCAGCCCAATATTTCAATCCTTACCTTGTATGAGGTGCGAAGCACATTTCCTCTCTACCCATCATACCCCAGCTCCAGAGTTGACGAGCATCGAGATTCAAGCTTGTGGGCCATGAGATTCTAATATAGCAATCCAGGCTATATATGGTCGAATCGGCACACGTATGAGCATACCTCATGGTTGCGAAAAGACTGGACAGGCTCGCGCGCGAAAGCCAGAAGGTCTCATGATCACGAACAGGGCCCACCTTCAAGACGACTACCACCGACCTGTTATCATTGTGGAGAATTTTCTTCGCGACACGGCCTTCAATCGTGGCTCGAACGTTCAGCCAAGGTATCGTGGCCCACAAGCTAGACGGTGATCATTGCCCAGGCGTCAATGGGCTCAAATTCCAACCCGTGGCGACACCCCTCAACATCACTCTAGAGTTGTTACGAAGCACAATATTGCCGCAGAAAAAGATGAGTTATTGTGTTATTCTCTTTGATATCTGCCTGTGCAAGAAGATGAGACTTCTCAAACAAGTGACGCAGACTATATTTTTTACCCGGCCGAATTTCCTTCACGATGTGGATATACCGCCGCGCCGGCCCGACCAGGACTCACAGAATGCTTAGACCATGGCATTTCGAATGCAGTGGCTAGCGAATGCGACTTCGCTCTTGAAAGCAGTAAAATCAATTGAGAACGTTCTGTTTGGACACACAAAAAAAAACGACTTCTCTGTTCTTCATGACTGGCTAGCTGCATCGCTGTCTCAGTCTTGCCAGCGAGCGCTCGATCACCAACAGACTGTAGGTGCTAAGCAACATGGTGTTTGTATCTATGCGTAGCGGTGAGGCTGCCATCGCTAGTGACGGTACTGCCTCGGAGAGTGTGTATCGATTGAGTACTACTCTACTTCGTTGTGGAGTATGTGTATGGGTATAAAAGCTACAAGTTCTGAATCATTCCACAATCATTTCCCGCCACTTTACCATACATTACAAAAGCACGTAGCAAAAGAAGCCATGAAGCTATCCTCATTCATCACTCCTGTTTGCCTCCTGGGCGTAGCAGCATCGGTCGAGATGACTCAGTACTCTACGGGACCTGGTGTCGAGGTTGGTTTTGAGTCCTTCGTCAAAGAGTACGATTTCCCATCATTCTCCCGCAACTGGCAAGAACGACCAGAGCACTAAACCAAATTTGTAGGCTCTACGCCTCAGCTGAGGATCCGTCTGCTACAAGCACTTTTACCGATTTCTTCACGACCAACGGGCAGCTCATTGTTCTTGAGAATACTGCCACTGGCGCCGAAGAGATCGTCGCGCTGAAGGAGGAACTCCTTCCCGTAGCAGGCAACAAGCTTTGGAATCATCTGCCCAACGTGACCACTGTCGATTCAGAAACAACCGCGGAGAAGACTTACCAGGTGCTTGGTGTTATTGAGACGAGATACGATGGTGGAAATTGCTCTCAGGCCTAGTACGTTCTGAACTCACAACTGCGCTAGCATTTTAGTAGCCTGATGAAGGTACACTAACGACGTAACTTCCGCAGCTACTCGACCCGCTTTACCGTTACCAAGGATGCCAGCGGATTACCCCAGCTCAAACCCCACACGGGAAGCCTGGTCGCTTATGACGATTTCATCGTGAGCCCATCGAAGACGCCGACGGATATAGCTTGTGGGGCTTAGTGCAAGCGCTGGGTGGCACGGCCCAGTGACTAAGATCATTTGGCGACTTCTGTATGCAAAAGGCATGTATGTATTGCTATCGAAAGTAGGGCACGTTGCGCAGTTGTCTCATGAGTCAAGATCACATTGACACTGTCTGCATTCAAGTATTTAAGCTGCTCTAGCGCCATCTTCGTACGAAGCTTGACTGAGTTGATGAACGCCTACTCTAGCGTGGTGATATCATCTTGCATGCGTGACAAGTTCTCACTGGAAAATATTGTTGTGTCGCTGTGCGTAGACGTTAGTGATAAAACAGTCCGTCAACGCACAGCTTTCATTAAAGCTCCCACAATAATTGTTCTTTGGAGTAAGTATTATTCTCATATCCACTGATCTCTTCTTCTCTCCCCTTTACTCAGATACCAAAGGCAAAACAGGTCTCCCATACCACCTATGTCTACAGAAACAGTCAAGACATCCGTGCGCGACAGATATGTCGTATTCCACAAGGCTGCACAAAGCTTCCGCGGCGGCGAACAAAATGTCGGTGTCTTAGTTGTTAAGTATCGCCCTCAGAATGAAAGCTGCGTCGAAAAGCGCGTGACTACGTACCAAAACGGTGTCTCATCGCTCTACAGCGAGATTCACACCATGGTTCAATGTCGAAATCATCCAAACATTGTATCCATATTGGAAAGCGACACAGCAGATCTTGCTCAGACGTATGGTTCAATCTGGATGCAGCATTGCGAGCTCGGATCTTTGGATGCGCTGATCATGCGATACAACGAACGTGATGTGTATCTTTGAGACGAAGGTTTCCTTTAGAAAGTTTTCTGGGACACCTGACAGGCTCTTTGCTATCTTGGACAGGTCAGAACTACAAGAAGACGCGCGATGACGCCATGCAGGGCCGACCAGTAGAGTCTCATGTGCGTGGTTGGATCGCCATCCGTCATCGCGATCTAAAGCCAGCCAACATTTTGATGACATGATCTAGCCCCCGGAGTCACCCTACGGCAAAAGAGGAGACATATATGCGCTCGGTCTGATTCTGCTCTGCGCGACACAGATGCAACAGTGTCCCAACGTGGCTATTCCCGATCGAGAGTATAATCCATTAGGGTACTCTAATCATTCTCATGAAGAACTCGAGTCGCTAGTTGGAAGATGCTTGATGGCGGATCCAAGTGACCGACCAATCCAACAAGAGTTACCCATGATGGTGTGCGAGGGCTACCATGAGCGGCGCTCATGCAGGGCTGACAACGGGGAACCACTACCAAATTGGGCATTTAACTAGATTCACGTAAATATCGGTAAGCAACAGAGGCTCTCGGCATTTGGGTTGAATTGAATATGTAGGAATGTGAAAAGAAGTGAATATGTACAAATTTATGAGGTCAACAATGGCGAACATGGAGTGCTCGGCGATGTGCAGTTAATGGCCAGCAAGTTTCGTGATCGGTGGTGTGTTCGGGTAGAAGCTCGCCGGCATCGTAGGAATGGGAATTGGACTGGCTGTACCAAACGCGGTCTGCAGATTTTCCTTCATAGTAGGTGCAGAGTAACCAGTGGGTGCGGCGGTTTGAGTACTGGTAGTGGCTGGATAGGCGCCCCCACTTCCCTTCTTCAAGCAAAATCCACTACCGTAACCGTTCTGGCATTGATAGATGTTGTGGTTGCCCTTCTCAGTCCACATAGCCAGATCCTCAATGGTAATGTCTGTGCAAGGCGCCTTTTCTGCGCAGACGATCTTCACAGGCCCGCGGTTCAGACCGTATTCGACTGTGCCTAAAGATGGGTGCACGAAGTCAGTATTTGTCTCACATGCAGTTCGTACATGAGAAATTACCTTTCCAGTTTTTGAAAGTCATGTTGCTCAGCTGCACACCATTGCCGGCAATGGTGCTCATCGAAGCCCATTTCTGGTCGATGTCTAGGGACCAGGCGTTGCCGTGGCCGATGAAGTTCTCGAAAACGACATCTTCGACATAGCCGCTGCCACCATTGGACTTGACCATCATCATCTGGTTAGATTTCCAGGTGTAGATGTTCTTGTATACTACTGAGGAGATGGCGGTATCAGCGCCGAGAGAGCCCATGGCGCAGCCACCGCTCCAGTTGCAGTAGATGTTCTCAATCAGGACATTCTTGGAAGGCGACTTTACAGTGACGCACTCATCTTTGTTGGTCACCATGATATCGTGTACCCAGCAATTCGTACAAGTGACATCAACACCGTCGAGACCACCCCAGTCACCTCCGCGGATTGCCATATTGTAGGCTTCGCCGTTCGTGCAATTATTGATTACGAAGTGGAACATGGGTGCGTCGACAAGGATTATGTCGTGGATTCCAAAGTTGGTCGATTTCTCAATGCGGAGAAGACGGGCGCCATTTCGCTTGCCGTTCTTGTGGTCCTGGTAACCGTTGCCTGTGACTGTAATCAGTACTGTAATGGGACATGACCGGTA